TGCCTCCCGAGTGCTGGGATTAAAGGCATGCACTGCCACCACCCGGCGCAACACATTTTATAATACTAGTAGTTTGTTCAAATATGCTCAGAAGTAATGAAAGGGGGAAAAGAAAAGAGGTGTGTGTTGAATATATTAAGACACTAAAGCACTTAGAATAATTTTTGTCCAAAAAACTGTATAAGTTAGTTATGTGGTTATTATCCCTTTTTATACTTTTTTTTTTTTTTTGAGAGACAGGGTCTCAAACTAGAGTCTCCCAAGTACTAGTGTATCCTCCCAAACGCAATTTGACTCTTGTTAAAGCTTGAAGGTAGACAAGATTGCCCAAGAGAGGGTCTAAGAGGAAGGTAGGGGCCCAGGAGGGAAGCATAGTACTACATCACTGGTTGCCTAGAACTCAGGGACCCCAACAGCAGCACAGTGATGGATCACTTGTCCAGTACACAGGGCCGGGAGGGTAGCACAGTGCTGGGGCATTGCCTAGCACACACCAAGCACTGGGCTCCATCTCCAGCATCACACGCAGAACAGAAAAATGGCACATAGACAGAGGAGAGAAATGTGGGATAGGAAAAAAAGAAAGCCAGAGGCTGTGTCCTGTTGAACTTGAGGGCAGAGACTTTTGAAGGAGGTGTCATCGGTATCTGATAGAGAATGTGCAGCTGGGGAGTCTGGGGGAGTCTGGTGGTGGTAGTTTTCTTGTATTTTAGGTTTTGAAATATGATACGTATACAGAAAACCTAAGTACACAGCTACATGAGTATTGACATACCCTTAGATAACCCTGACCAAGAAGAAGTACCATAGCAACACCTGAGAAACCTTTGTCACACCTCACTAGTATACCCCGTCCTCTGTAAGTCAGCTGACGACAGATCATGCTTCTTTTTTCTTCTGTTTTTATACCCAGAGTCACCAATGTGGATTCCTTAGTATTTCATTTCTTTCATTCTACATATGTTATGAAATGCACCAATTTTTTTATGCATCCAACCTACCCTCATTGGATTCCATTGTATATATACCACAAAAAACAATTGTTCTTGAAAGAGGGACTCGGACTGAACCTGGAACTCACCAATTTGTCTAGTCCAGCTGGCCAGCAATTCCAGGGGTCCTCCTTTTTTTTTTTTTTTTT